GGCAAGTGAGTGCTGCGGTTTGTTAATGGAAGCGCGTTGCGTTGCTTGGGAAAATCTCTGCTGTAGAGCAGAGTGGCTGGGGAGTCAGTCACGGGAGAGGAATGAGGAACGAGGGCGGGGAGCGGGGCGCGGGGCGCGGGGCGCGGGGAAGGCTCGCGTCTGAGCGGGAGCACGGGTCGCCGGCCTGCCCGACGGCCACTCCCACTCCCGGGCCCAGGCCTGGGGCTGTGCGCGTGGTAGGTGTGGCTGGCAGGGAAGGAGGCCTAGGAGCCGGAGAGGAGGGAGCCTTGAACCCGAGTAAGGCGGGGAGGGGAAGCGTGGCTGCCACAGCCGCTCACTCTCCCCTTCCCAAAGCCCGGGCGCTGCCACGGCGGGCCTTCCGGAGCCCGGCGAGTGAGCATGCGCTGTGCGCCCGCCGTGGAGCCCGCTCCCCGGGGGAAGCAGCTTCTCCCAAATGGTGAAAAGCTGAGCAGAGGGCCAAGCAGTCAGGGCCCGGCGGGGCGTGGGAGGCCCTAGAGTAAGGGGCGGTAGCCATGAGGACCAAGGGAGCCCTCTTCCGGTCACCTGGGGACGCCGGGCTGAAGAGGGCCGGGTGCAGGCTCAGCAGGAAGCTTGAGGACGGCTCAGGCCCTCCCCAGGGACCAGGCCGGGAGTGTCACCTTCCACAAGGGAGCAGAGGGGGTTGTGACTAGAGAAAGGAACACAGGCAGAGTGAGGGAAGGACAGAGGGGAGACAGAGGAGAGCCCACAGGTGCTGGGCCCCAGGGTGGCTCTGGGCAGCCTCTGTCCACCTCTCCTGCCACACATGAGGGCCCCTCTCAGGCTTTTACCCTTCTCGTCTTTGTCCACTGTCTCCTCCCCAGCCCAAGCCCCTTCTGTGCTGACTTTAGGCCCACAGAGGAGAACAGCCAGGTGGAGGGACCTCAGGGGCCAGGCACCCTCTGGCGTGGGGCTTCTTTTGTGATTTTGAGAGCAGCGGGCACCTTCTGTCTGGGAATTCTGCACACAGGGTTACGAGGTGTAAGGAGGCTGGGACACTGTCCTGAACCACTGCCACCCGTTCACACAGGGTGCCAGCTGGGCCGAGTGGAGGGATCCCATGTGCTCCGAAGTCCTACAGCCCTGGGTTTGAGTCTTTTCCAAATTTTTTGCTGTGGGTAGCTATTTCTGACGCATAGTTTAAAATCCATTTCTTCCTCTGTGAAACAAGGAGAAAAAGGATGTACCCCACAGGGGCGCTGTGAAGATCAAACAAGACAACACAGGCGGAGTATCCAGGCAGCGTGTGGCCCGCAGTGGGCCGCAGGAAGTGGGCTTGCCCTGGCTGCTCTTTGACCGTGTGGTTCTCCCAGAAGCCCTCTGGTTCCCCTGTGCCCTTCTGAATTTACTCTTGTCTCCTGTAACCCTAAATCCCTTTGGCCTGGGGTTATAGATTACCTGCTCGGCAAGAGCCTGTCTGTCTGTGCCCTGCAGTTCCTCAGCCTGTGCCAGGCCAGCCGCTCATTCATGCTCCATGCTCCCCTCCCCAGCACCCAGGCCCCAGGTCCGAGCCACCTGTACCCTGCAATTCTTATCATTCCCCCAGGCCCGGGGAAAGTCCCACCACTTCTTCCAAACCAAGGGTCCCCCCCTTCTCCACATTGTGCTCCAGGTCCCCAGCTGGCCTGGTCCTTTGGGGCAAAGCACAAATCCTCCTTCTTGTTGCAACTTCCAGCAACCTCGTGTGTGCACACGTGGGCCAGTGCTCCATGCAGAGCAGACACAGCACGGAGTTGCTGCAGTGGACGGTGACCTCCCAGAAACACAAGGCATGCAGGGAAGGCTCCGCTTGGAGCTTGGTTTTCCTTCTGGGGGAAGGGGATGCTCCATGGCACCGACACTTTCTCCCCCTGCCCATCCATCTGTGGCTCTCCCTGGTGGGGCCGAGGTAGAATCCTGCCGCAGAGCCCAGCAGACCTGCCTGCACTCCTGTGGACATCGCCAGTGGCCACGTTCCCAGGAATCGGCGTGGCCTGTGTGGACACTCAGCCAGTGTCCCTTCTCTTCCCTCCTTAGTCTTGTTAGCTTCAGGTTTTCACTGCCTGAGCTGTGAGGAAGGTTAATGGTGAGCATAAAATGTAGTTGTTCCCCTTATCTGCAGGGAATGCAACACAACCCAGGACCCCAGTGATGCCAAACCCTGTATGTACCGTGCTATGACTTTCCCCAATTGTACATATCTAGGTGAAGCTTGATGTCTACATTACGTACAGTAGGAAATGAAATAGAACAATTATAGCAATGTGCTATAACAAAAGTTATTTAAAAGGTATGAATCTGGAATTTTCCATTTCTTTTCAGACCCTGGTTGACCATGGGAACTGAAACTGCAGAAAGGGAAAGCACTAAGAGGGGACTGCAGCAGGGCAGGACAGCGGGCTGCAGGGAGCTGAGGCCCAAGGTGGGCAGGGCACGCTGGACCCGTACTGGCAGAGTGGCGAAGAGGGCGGCCCAGAGGACAGGAGGAGAGCGGCCTGGAATGTGCCCCGTGGGTGGCTGGAGAGCTGGCGGGAGGCCGAGAGAGACTGGGCCTCCTCCAGCCTGGCTGTGCCCGCCAAGGTCTGATGGCAGCCGGGAGGAATGTGGAGAAGAAAACAAAACAAACTTTGCCACTTCTGACTGGTGCTGAAAAAGAAAACCCACGTCCCGGTCTGGTCCGAGTCGCCTGCCTCCTCCCCACCCACCGGCCGCAAGGCCCCCTCCCGCCCCAGCACAGTGCCTCCTTCTGGGTTGGCCAGGATGGGGCCAGAGTCTGGGAGGGTGTGGAGGCCCCGAGGTCCGAAAGTGCCAAGGCTTCCTGACGGCCTCCCTGTCTCCACTGTGTCTGCTGCTCTGCCTGCAGGGGAAGGGGCAGGGACTGGGGGGCGGGCTGCGGGTACCCAAGGACAGCGGTCAGGAGCAGCTGTGGCACTCCATCTGCTGAGGGCTGATGTCAGGGGGCTCCACCTTTACCCATTTATCCTTTCTGATAATTGTTAGATCTTCACAAACCCTCCCAGTACAGGCATTATTTAAAATATCCTCTGTCTTTTCTTCTTTTCATGGTACTGGGGATCAAACCCAGAGCCTTCACGCTGAGCGACCGGGTCTCTAAGTCGCTGAATTGCCCAGGCTGACCTCAAGCTTGCAGTCTTCCTACTTTAGCCTCCCAGAGTGCTGAGATTACAGTACAGACATATACCATGGTGACCAGGAAGATATCCCCATTTTACAGGTAAGGAGACTGAGCTCAGAAAGCTTTGGTGAGTTGCATGAAGTCAGAGGATGAGCCAGGACTTAAACCTAGGTCATTCTGATTCCAAAGACAGGGTTTTTCTTTGTTTTCCCCACTGAAAACAAACAAAACACACAGGGGCCAGGGATTTAGCTCAGCGGTTCCAGCGGTGCCTGCCTTGCAAGCACAAGGACCCAAGTTCTATCCCCGGTACCAACCAACCAACCAACAAACAAAACACACAGGGTTTGCATGGCCCTATCAGCTCTGCACAGCTCCCAACCCAGCCCAAGCCCTAACTCTAATGGGAACCCTCACCCCCAACCCTAACCCTCTAACCCTGGTCCTAATGCTAATCCTAACAATAACCCCGACCCTCGGGCCCCTCCACCCTTCTGTGCCTGCGGGTGGTCAAGGGCTGTCCTAGGCAGTGGCCAGTAGCTGCCTGTGGCTACTTACATTCAACGAATTAGATTTAAGTGAAATTTAAAATTCATGCCCTTAGTGGGTTATACCAGCCCTAACTGCAGGTGCTTGGTAACCATGTGGCTCCCAGATCAGGCAGCACAGAGGACACTGATTTCACCACTGGCCTAGGGTCAAGGCTGGTGGGAGGCCCAGAGAATGGGAGAAAGGAACCAAAGGGTTCCAGGGGAAGAGGTGCCTTACAGGGGGACAGGAAACTGTGGAGGTGAGCTTGGATGGGGGCACAGGGCTCCACCAGGCCAGCAAGCAGAGGCGAAGGGAGGAGGAGGAGTGCTCCTTGGCCCTCCCTGCGATACTGATACTCTGGGCAGCTCCCATGAGCAGCTGGCTGGGGTGGGGCCAGGCCGGGGCCAGGGCAGGAGGCAGGGACCCGCAGTGCAGAGGCCCCGCCCCTCCCCGGGTCCTGGCACTCTGCTCCTCTGTCCTCCAGGGGCCGGGAACCCTCCCAGCCCTGCTCTGTGCCACCCAGGCCCCGTCGGTCCAGAGGCTGCTTCCTGCTGCCTCATCCAGGCCAGCGCCCGCCTCTCCAATTAGCCTCATTAGCCTCTTGCTCACCCGTGCGTCTGGGACAGTCAGGGCGGGAGGGGCGGTGAGCAGCTGTGAGTAACTGAGGCCGCACTGCACTGCGAGGCGTCCGCAGCCCGGGCCTCCCCAGCTGAGCTCTGGTTCCGGTGCCTCCACTGTCCCTGGAGTCCCCCGGGGAGATGTCAGGCAGCTGGGGCCCAGGGGCCCGTGACAGCCCAGAGCTGGGCACTGGCCGGGGGATGAGGTGGGGATGGATTTTCCCATCCAAAGGCGCAAGTGGGGTAGGACCGAGGGAATGGCGAGGGGCCCAGGAGCCCGGCGGGGCATCACCACACGGGGTGGACGAGGCACTTCCAGGTGCAGGGAGGAGCTGAGATGCCCACACCTTTGAGTCGAGGGGCCCAGGAGGGTCGCCATGGGACAGGCCAGGCCAGCCCGGGGAGGCCAGGAGAGAAGCCTCCAGGCGCCGGGTCCTGGGTGAGAGTGGCCTCTGCAGTGGGTGGCCATGGGGCAGAGCCCTGGCCGTAGCTTAGGCAGTGAGGAGCAGGTCCCGTGGCCCGGCCCACACCATGGGCACCTGGTGCTGATTAGGCAGATGCTCGGGCTGATTACTTCAGCTCTTCCCGGCCACACCAACTTCCCCCAGGCGCCCACCCCCTCTGCCCTGCGCCCCTCCCCATGGTGACTCCTGCCCAGAGAATGTCCAGCCTTGGCATAAAGGCCCCGGTGTCCACAGGCTGCCGTCAGTCAGAAGGCTGCACCTTCCACCATGGGCTCCTCTCGGGCACCCCGGACAGGGCGTGTGGGCGGGCACGGGGCCATGGTCTTGCTGCTGGCTGGGCTCCTCCTGCCAGGTAGGAGGCTGGGACCCCGGGGGAGGGCAGGGGAGCGGGCGCAGACCCGGTGGGGAAGGCTGGGCCCACGGGGCCTCAGGACAGAGCCCAGGGGCCAGGGCCTGGAACTCGGCTGCTCCGCACCACCTGTCACCTCGGGAAGGTTAAACTTTCCGACCCTCGAGTTCTGAAACTCTAAAGGGCTTTGTAGTAACATCTGGCGCGTCTCCACTCGTGTCAGGACTCATGCTTCAGCAGTTCTCGAGGGCCGGGCACATGTTAGGGTGATGATGGAAGCCGGAAGATGAAGATTAGATATTTCATAGTCATAAAAACTGCTACCATTTTTAGAGTCCTTTTTCTGTCATCATAGCAGTTCTGATGGTTACAAGAACCGCAGGAGACCTGTGCCCGCTTTGCCGATAAGGACCCTGAGGCCAGAGGACAGGACTCAGGCTGGGTCTGTTAGCAGCAGCGCAGTCCAGGCGGGCGCAGGTGGGCCTGTGTGTCCCCCACTCTGGGCTCCCAGCCCGCCAGGGTTTCTGCAACCTTCCCTGTGGATGGGGGTGCGAGCCGGGTGGGCGTGGGTGCCGGCGGGCGGAAGCCTGGCAGGGCCGAGTGGGTTGGCGTGGAGGAGTGGATGGGGATAGCACTACCTGTGGGGAGGCAGCAGCAGTCGCAGGGCTCAAGGACAAGTGACAGCAGTGAATCGGGGCCCAAGGGTTTGTGTGATAGGAGCATCTCCGGGTAGGTGACCCCACTGAGGTCCACCGGAGCTGAGAGGAGGTGTTCGGCACAGAGCTGCTCTCTGGATGCCCAGGGAGCACCCAGGGGTTCCTAACTTGCTGGTTGTGGCTCCTCCCTGCCACCGCCTCGGGGGCTGCAGGGTGCACAGGAGGCCCTAGGTGGCCGGCGAGGAAGGGAGGAAGGAAGTGATTCCTCCTCTGGGGCAGGGAGGGCTGGGTGGGACGAGCAGCTGATCTGGTCTCAGCCTCCCAGGAGGGTTTCGGTGGGAGGCCCTGGGCTGGGCCTGGAGAGCAGAGGAGGCTCAGGGCGTGGTGCCCGGTCCCACTGGCACCAGCAGGTTCTGAAGCAACAGGCGATGCCCCACATCCTGGCCCCTGCCCAGCTTTACTGGTGTGGCCAGCGCTGACACAGAGGCGGGATTTCCGGCCATCACCCAGCATGGGCTCTCTGGAGGGAGCCGGGGACAACGCCAGCCCTCAGGCACCCTGTCCTTTGTGTCAGCTGCTGCCACTGGTTTCTCTTGCCCCACCATCTCTTTTTATGTGTTTTCTTCCCTTCTTAGTCCTCTATTGCTTTGCCCTTTATCTTCTCCTTCTATTCGGTCTCATGCTGTGGCTCTGGATTATCATCATTATTATTTTTTGAACTACATCTCCAGCCCTTTTTGTTGTTTTGCTTGGCAGTACTGGGGATCGAACTCAGGACCTTGCGCTTGTGAGGCAGGCGTGGCACCACTGAGCTAAATTCCCAGCCCGGCCCTTTAATTTTTTTTTTTCCCCCCGGTATGGGAGATCGAACTCGGGTCCTTGCGCTTGTGCAGCAGGTGGTGAAACCACTGAGCTAAATCCCCGGCCTCTAATTTTCTATTTTGAGACAGGTTCTCTGTAAGTCACTAAGTTGCTCGGCCTGGTCTGGATCCTCCAGTCTTCCTGCCTCAGCCTCCCACAGCATTGGGAGTACAGGAGTGCGCCACCGTGCTCAGCTGGCTGTGGACGTTTTCCATCTGGATCTCTCTGTCTCAGAGTTTCAGCCTCCCGCCTGTCTTCTTTCAGGCTGATTTGTTCCCCTTCGAAGTTACCTGTTGCTTCTTCCTTCGGTGCCTGTCTGTCACTCTGGCATTTCGCCGTCTGTTTTCTGGTAAATATTCAACTTCCTCCGTACTCAAACCCCACTCCTAGGACAGAGGCGGCCCTTCTTCTGCCACTTCAGTGTCCTTTGGCAAGAGCACCACTTCTCTCTTTCCTGTGCTCAGAGCTCAGGCTCCTGTCGGGAGAAGCCCAGTGGCCCAGCGCTTGATGGGCTGGTGGGTGAGGGGCAGCCGGCCTCTCTGGCCCTCTCTGACCTCTGCTTTCCCCACAGCGACCTCGGCTAAGAGCATCGGGATCCTGTCAGACCCCTGCAAGGACCCCACGAGGATCACCTCACCCAGGGACCCCTGTGTCCTTGTTAAGGGCCCCAGCAGCGGCAGCGGCTCCGCCTCCGCCTCCGGTTCTGGCTCCAGCTTCTCTGGCGGCTCCCAGGGCGGCTCCCCAGGAACCGTGGTGTTTAAGCCAGGGACGGGGTATTCCCAGATCAGCTACTCTTCGGGACCCAGCTCCAGCTCCAGCTCCCAAAGCTCATCCAGCTCCACCTATTCGGGAGGCAGCAACCGGGGACGAGGGGACGGCTCCGCTCTGCCCACCGACGATTCCTCCTACTCCTCTTCCTCCCGCTGGTTGGGCTCGTCCCAGTCCGGGGGCAGCTCTTACACCTCCCAATCCTCCGGGCCGTCCAGCAGCAGCCGCAGCTCCAGCCTGCAGCCCTGCAGCTCTGACGTCCCCGACTCCCCCTGCAGCGGGGGCCCTGTGGTCTCCCACTCCAGCCCCTACATCTCCAGCTCCCACTCCGTGTCGGGCGGCAAGAGGCCTGTGGTGGTGGTGGTGGAGCAGCATGGCTCTGGTGGCCCTGGTGTGATTCAAGGTGTCCCCTGCAGCAGTGGCGGCCCCCCAGGCAGGCCCTGTCCCCCCATCACCTCTGTGCAGCAGCCCTACGGAGGCTACGAGGTGGTGGGCGGCTCCTCTAGCAGCTACCTTGTCCCCGGCATGACCTACAGCAGGGGCAAGATCTACCCCGTGGGCTACTTCACCAAAGATAACCCTGTCAGGGGCGCTCCCGGGGCACCCCCTCTTGCAGCTGGGCCCCCCGTCTCTGAGGGCAAATACTTCTCCAGCAACCCCATCCTCCCCAGCCACACCTCCTCCGGCTCCTTCCAGTGGGGGGTGCCCCCGGCCATTGTGTTCCAGCCCGTGGGCTCCGGTGGGGTCCAGCCCTGCGGGGTCAGCTCCACGGGCTCCAAAGGTCCCTGTGGCCCCTCAGGTTCCACGGTGCACCTCGCTCCCAGCATTCCCGGTGCTTCTGGCTCACCGTCCTCCCAGCCCTGTGGTGGTTCTTCCCAGGGGCCCTGCTCCCCACCGGGGCCCGGCTCCTTCAGTGGCAGCACCAGCTCCCTGCCGGGTACCAGAGTCCTCCAGCCCTGCGGCAGCAAGTCCGTCTCCGCAGGCCAGCCCTGCATCTCCGTTTCCTCCTTGACCTTGAGCGGGGGTCCCGACGGCTCTCCTCAGCCCCATCCCTCTGCTGCTGCCAAGCCCTGTGGCCTCAACAGCCCTGGAAGGGTTCCCTGCCGCTCCATCCGGGACATCCTGGCCCAGATACAGCCTCTGGGACCCCAGCTCGCTGACCCGGCCGTCTTTCTACCCCAAGGAGCGGGCCCTGCAAGCTCCTGAGCCAGGTGTTCACTGTGCATCTCGGGCACACAGCTGGGAGGCGTCCGGGCCTGGGCCGCCTCACCCTGCTCCTCCCGGAGTGCTCGCGCCCTCCCTTAGCCCAGAGCCACAGGTGCCCCTCACCTGTCTCCCTCGGCCCCATGGCAGGCAGCCTCCCGGTCCGTCTCCTCTCCCTCTCCTGCTGCTCAGCCCAACACCCCCAACCCTGCTGCTGTGTGCTCGGTGCCAGGCCTCCCCCGGCCTCCCTGCGGTTTCTCTGGCTGACTGAGGTGACCACTGGCTGAGCCACCCATGCAAGTCCTTGGCCGGAAACCCAGGGTCGCTCCTGGACCTCAACGCCCAGATCCATCCACATCCTCCCCGACTCTTCCCCTTTGCCAAATAAAGCAAAGTCCAAGCCATGCCCCAAAACAATGCCCACTTCGCACTCCGCACTGAGCCGTTTGTCACCTGCTCAGCCAGCCCGCTGAGCCCTGGGTCAGCTGCAGCTCCACACTCCCCGAGCACCCCGCCCCTGGGCCTTCAACCCAGCCCCCAGGTGTCCCTTCCATGCTCAGGTGCTGGGAGGACTGGAGCAGGCGGCCTGCTCTCTCCAGGCCCCGGCCGGCTCAATAAACTTCGAACTCCAGGCAGACCGTTTGCCATCTTGGAGCCCTGTGTCTCCCCTTGGGATCTCCGCCTGCAGAGGCCCCATGGGCTTCGTTCACCCAACAGCTCCCTCACTTTGCAACTTCTCCCACAAAGAACAGAGACAGCGATGTTCACTGAAGTGAAAGCACAGGTGCCCGGTCCCAGGTGCTTCTGCCCGCCTCAGCCTGGGGAGCTCCCGCCCTCGCATGGGGTCTCCTCGGCCCCTTGGCCTTCTCCATCCACGCCTCTCACCTTCTAGGCACCATCCTCTCCGGCCCCCAGCACCAATGTCCTGGGCTTCTGGGATGCCTGGAGCCGGGGAAGGCTGGGGCACAGCTCCCTGGACAAGGCTCCTGGCCACTGAGTCGGAGTCCGGTTGCTGGGAGCTGAGGGCGGACAGTGTAAGGCAGGATGGCGGCGGGCGGCGAGTGCTCCGCGCAGGGACTCCCTGGCCTGCTTAGCGAGGTCCCGGCCTGTGGCAGTGGAGCAACATGTCCTCTCTGCTGCCATGCTTCTGCTGCTCCTGCTGCAGGTCCCGGGGAGCGGGCAGAGCCTGCGTGGGGAGGGGAAGCGGAGTGAATGGCCAGACCTCGCCTTGGGACTAGTCCCCAAGGAAGCTCTCACCCGGGCGGGCGGGCGGATGAGGGGTGAGGGCCTCACTCTGAGTGCAGGCCGCCTGCCTCTTGCTGCCTCTGCCGGCTGCTGCGAAGGAATTCACCCCAGGGAGGGGCTGACCCACTCCCTCCTATTGGGGTGGATAAGCTGGTTCTGAGATTGTTTATTTCAGTACTGGGACTGAATCCCGGGCCTTCACACTGAGCTGTATCCCTACCCCATTTTTATTTTTTATTTTGTTGGGGGTTTTTGGTACCAGGTATCGAACTTGGGACCTTGCGCGTGAGAGGCAGGCGGCGGAACCACTGAGCTAAGTCCCTGGCCCTTTATTTTTTATTTTGAGACTGGGTCTCACTAAGCTGCCCAGGCTGGGCTTGAACTTGTGAGCTTCCTGCCTCAGCCTCCCAAGTGCTGACCACCACACCCACCACACCCAGCTGCTCCTGAATTTAGAACCAGCAGCGATGTGTTACATTAGCTACAAATGATCAGAGGCTACTGACCCAAACTTCACAGCTCACTGGAAACAAAGCCGGGCTCCAAAACAGCCCTGTTTTTGCCATCACTGTGGAGTCACCCATGGCCCAGCATCTGGAGCCTGGGCTGCAGCCAGCAGGACCCTCAGAAGCTCAGGGATGGGAATTGCAGAGGGACAGGGAGGCCCCGGATGTGGGGTTCCTCTATCTGGTGTGGTCCAGGCCAAAGCTTCTGTAAAACTGGTGGGTGCGACCCCAAAAGCTTTCTGAGCTCCCTCCCTTGGCCAGTTCTGGGGAGGAGCATTTATTCCTCTGGTAGCCGCCAAAGGATGTTCCCTTGGGCAGCCAGGGAAGCCTACCTGGTGGGTTTCTAGAAGTGATGTGGATAACATTTTATTATAAAAATTTCAAACATATTTGTATCAGTCTATTTTGTGTTGCTATAACAAAATACCTGAGGTTAGGTATGTGTAAAGAATAGAAGTTTAATTACCTTAGTTTTGGAGGTTCAAGAGCATGGCTAGGGCCCCTGGGCTGCATCACAACATGGCAGATGGCATCATGGAGAGAACATGTGTGCGTGTGTGTGGAGAGAGAGAGAGAGAGAGAGAGACAGAGAGAGAGAGGGAGGGAGGGATTGATTACAGGGCAAGGCAGGATGCAGAAGGGCTTTAGGACTGGCTCATTCTTTTTTTTTTTTTTTGTCTCGGTACTGGGGATCGAACTCAGGACCTTGTGCTTGCCAGGCAGGTGCAGCGCCACTGAGCTACATCCCAGCCCTGGCTCGTTTTTATCACAGCCCACTCTCAGGGAAGGAATTCACTCCGAGAGAAGCACACACATCACCTGAGCAACCTGATCACCTCCCACCTCCTGCGGCCTTGCTCTGACCACACTGGGGACTCCTTCAGCCAAATCAAACCACAGCAGAACCTAAAGCAGACAAATAATGACCGGGTCCCCACGTCCCCATCAATCCAAGAAGCAGCGATTGAGTCGTGGCTGTCCGACAGGAGGGTTTAAATGTCCCCCCGCTGCTGCTGGGGAACAGCTGCTCTCTCCCTGTTTCTTGTATTCTGTGCACGCTTCTGACCACATGTGGTAGGCAGAACGGTCCCCCACCCAACACCCCAAAGATGTCCGTGACCTCATCCTGGAATCTGTGCACACGTTAGATTGCATGGCAAAGGAAAATAAGGAATTAAGGTTGTTAGTCAGTTGTTCTTCAAATAAGGGATTATCCTGGATTATCTGGGTGGATCTAACATAATCACAGGGTTTTTAAATTAGGGCATGAGAGGCAGCAGAGGAAGTCATAAGGCATGGTATGGAAAGACTTGTTTGGGGCTTGGAAGGGAAAGCAAGGGAACCACGAGCCACGGAACAGGGTGGCTGGAGAGGCTGGAGGGGTGGGGTGGGTTCTGCCCAGGAGCCTCCAGAATGCGAGGCAGCCGGCTGACACCGAGCTCTCCATCCACAGAGCCCCGTGCTGGACTTTGGAGCAACGAACTTGTGCTGCTGTATCCCAATAAGTTTGTGGTACTTTGTTAGAACAGGAACAGGAACAGGAAACTAATCTGACATCATCTCAGAAGAATGGGACTGGGCTTGTTTCCCTCAGAACAGATGGTAGGAGCAGCCCCTCAGAGGGGGCTGCGTATACCCCAGATCCTCCTGTGGACTGGGATCAAAGAGAAGGCGCTATCGGGATGATGTGAGAGGGGCTGAGAGTCAGAGAGAGAGAGGGGATCACGGGTCTTTTAACTGCTGAGAGAAGCAATGAAGACATCGGGGACCTGAAGGCAAAGTCTCTGTGGGCTTTGGGTAGGGACCAGGGAGGGGCAGGGCTGGCAGCCCAGGACCAGCCACAGACCAGGACACCTGGGACAAGAAGGGGCAGGAGCTCAAGGGAAGGCCAGGTGGGGAGACGCCCAGCGTCCTCGGGGACATTCAAGTGACACCTGTTGCCACAGACCATGTCGAGAATCAGGGTGGAACATGGGGTGGCATTGTCTGCACGGCCGCGGCCTGGCCTGTTCCTGTGGCCCCCGCCCCGCTGATGGGATAAAGGGGCCACGGGCTTGGGGCTGAGGGAGGAGCTGGAGCTGAGCAGGATGCAGGGCCGAGTGGCAGCGCGCCGGGCCCTTCTGGGTCTGCTCCTGGTCTGTCTGCATCTCCCAGGTGCGGAGGCTGGGTGGCCTTGGGCAGGAGGCACTGGGCCCCAGGACTGGAGATGAGGAGAGGGAGAAAAGGCAGGAGCAGCGCAGAGGGCCCATCCCGGGGTCTCACCTGAGGGAACGGGAGGAAGGCGGGCAGGGAAGGAGTTGGTGCCAGCACCCGCCCACCAGCCGCTGTGTCTTCCCCAGGCCTCCTTGCCCGGAGCCTCCGAGCAACAGAGGAAAAGGGGTCCCCGCACCCGGTCTGGGGCACCGACCTGCCTGTGCCGGGACAGCCGCCCTTCACCGGCCGCGCCAACGCTGGGCGTCCTCAGCCCAGTGTGGACCCCGGGCCTGATGATGTCGTGGGGCGTCCTTCCAAGTTCAGCGCTCCTCCAGGTGGCCCCCCAGCTGCAGGACGTGCAGGGAGGCAGATGTGGCCTCCGTCCTGGGGGCTGCCCCCCGCCGAGTCCTGGCACCCCGAGGCCCCTTGGCCGATGGTGGCCAGGGCAGCTGAGGAGCATCTGGAGCAGGCGCTGCCGGAGGAGCTGGCCTACCTTTCCAGTGCCGGTGCCCCCGCTCTGTACAGTGGGTCTTTGCTGGCTGCACTCTCTGGAAAAGCTGCACAACCCTCACCAGAAGCTTTGCCCGACCCCCAGGGCTTGGAAGCCAGATGGCTGACCCTGGTCAGCCAGCTGGGGGCCCAGGGAGAGCTCCTCGCCCAGCGCCCATTCTGGTCTCTTATCTATCGGCTGCTGCCTGGTCTCCCCTGGGGGGCCCTGAACCCCAGTGTGCCTTGGGGAGGTGGAGCTCTCGGGACTGGGTGGGGAACGAGACCCATGCCCTATCCTTGGGGTAGCCATAATCGATTCCCAGGTAACAGCTGGGGTAATATCAACCGGTACCCAGGAAACAGCTGGGGGGATAGCAACCGGTACCCAGGAAACAGCTGGGGGGATAACAGTCGCGATCCGGGTGCTAGCTGGGGGAATATTCCTCCCAGGGGCGTCAGTCCTCCTGGCCCTTCTTGGTAGATCCCAGCTGGCTTCCCAAGTCCTCAATACCTTGGCTTGCAGCGGAGTTGGAGCTGAGCACAGGGTGGGGAGACAGAAAGGGAAGCTGCCCCGCCCCGCCCGGGGGTGGGACCGGTCTCAACCCGCGTTTTCCAGCCCTGTGCCGGCGCGCACCGCCCCCTGGCTGCCTGGTGCTGATCTCCAATAAAACACGCAGTTCTCGGATTGGGCGCTTCCCGTGTCCTTGCTTCCGGGCCCCCTTCCGAGCCGGCCCAGGTCCTCAGGGTGGGCCCAGGCGGCGGAGTCCCCGGGTCTCGCCGCTCGGTGCAGGCGGGGAGCGGGGCCCAGCGAGGGGAAGGGACCCGCAGACTGAGCTCTTGAGGAGTGAACAGCACCCAGGCCCAGGAGGAGGGCGAGGAGCGGACGCCCGCCCTGCGAAGCATCCGCCGCCGACGACCTGGGGTGACGCGGTCCCTGCCCGCCCCGTCGCCCCGCCTCCCTCGGCTTCCCGGGGCGGCCGGGCGGGCGGCTTCGGTGGGAGGGCTGGGGTGCTGGGTCCTGGGTTCTCGTTCGCTCCGTGTGCTTGGCCCTCAGGGATCCAGGGATCCCAGGTCCGGCCGGGCAGCCTGTGGGAGAGGAGGCCGGAGGAGGGCGCGCCCAGGCCCGAGGAGGAGCACGGCGAGGGGAGGGTGTCCTGTCCGCTGTCCCGCTGTCCCGCTGTCCGCTCGCCTCCTCCCCCATTCTTCTCCCTCTGGGGCTCTCGGGTTTTCCTAGCTGTTTTCGGCTCCCGACTCCTCCACAGGTCCAAGCGCCTTCTTTCAGGATTGAGGGCTTGTTTTTCTCTATCGCCCTTCTGGTTGCCCCACTCACGCTTGGATATTTTTTTCCTGTACGGGGGATTGAACCCATGGCCTTTGTATTGAGCCACGTGGCCCACCTTTTTTATTCTGAGACAGGGTCTCCCTAACTCCCTAAGTGGCCCAGGCTGGGCTCAAACTTTCTTCTTCTTCTTTTTTAAATAAGTAACTGGGTTTTTTTTTTTTTTTTTTTGGTACTGGGGATCGAACTTGGGTCCTTGCCCTTGCGCAGCAGGCAGCGAAACCTCCGAGCTAAATCCCTGGCTCAAACTTTCAATCCTCCTGCCTCAGCCACCCAGAATGCTGAGATTACAGGTGTGTGTCACAACACCCGCCAGGACCTTTAGATTCTAAATCAACAATCCCCTGCTCTATTCCCCACAGGACCTTGTCCACTGACCCTTTCACCCCAGCACCAAGAACAGTGTTGGGGAGGCCCTCAGCAAGTAGGGGGATCCTCTCGTCTCTCCCTCTGAGGCCTCCAAAGGCCACGTGTCCCCGGCTCAGCCCCAGCTTGGGCATCCTGGGAGGTGGTGGGAGATGTGAGAGGCAGGAGGTCTTCAGGCCACGGGGCGGGGGGAGTGCGTGTGTGTGTGTGTGTGTGTGTGTGTGCGCGCGTGTGTGCGCTCTTGACGGCAGGGCTGCGGGACCCTGGCCCTCCCTCTCTCTTTGGTCCCATGCTCACCATGAAGTAAGTGTTTTGCTCTGGCTCTTGGTGTCACCATGATGTGCTGCCTCCCACAGGCCCCAAAGCAACAGGGCCGACCGCCATGGACTGCACCTTCCAAAACTGTGAGCTCAGATAAGCCTCTTCTGGTTATGAGTGGATCGCTTCAGGGATCTGTTAGAACAGAAAGCTGGCTAACACCTAAGTCTCTGCTGTTTTCCCTCCTCTTCCACTTTGTTCCCGAGCCATCCAGCTGCACACAGAGTCTAACCCAAGCCCTGCCAGTGCCCCACTGACATTTTCTCTGCTCACACAACGCTCCACAGTTCGTCACTCAGCCCTCATCCCTGTGTGACAAAGGTGACTCAGAGAGACCAAGCAACTCACACAGGTTACAGTGACGGGCAGTGAATCTGACCTCATTTTCCTCATCTGTCCAGGGAGTGTTCAAACACAATATGCAGTTAGCAGAAATATCAACTGACTTCTGTCACCTGCGTCAGGTCCACTGCAGGGCCCCTTGTGCAGGGAGATACTGAGGCCCAGGGTGGGCTGGGAGCCCTGAGCTGGGGGTGAGGTTGATCTGCAACTCAGTGCTGGTGCTCCCAGAAGCTGGGCTGCAATGGTGGAGGGTGCTGGGCAGCTGTGGGCGGTCGCAGCGGAGCGCTGTCTGGCTCAAGGCTGGTGCCTCAAGGAAGGGCTGGCGACCTCGTGTATAACGGAGGTCCGCTGCTAGTATGCTGATTGGTACATTTCTAGTAGTGCTAAGAAGCTGTGGCTGAAGCAGGAGGGGTCATTTCTCCCACGAGAGGAGGGAAGGTGCCAGGGTAGACAGAGCAGGTGTTCAGAAGCTGGAGGACCGGAGCTGCCCGTCGGGGACACATCGGGCACAGCCTCCCCTGCCATGCTGGTGTAGGCCGGCCCGTTAGCTCTGTGGGCCTCTGTTTCCTCATCTGTGGAACCGGATGAAAGCAGATGGCCGGCCTACTCCACAGGGTTGCTATGAAGTTGTATTAAGACAACGATGAGGCGCCCTTGCGGGTGGAAAGCCCTGCGCATGCGTCAGGGACGGCGGCCAGGGCGGTGCCGTCCTGCGGGGTGGCTCTCGGCCGGCCGCGCGCTGGGCGGCGCTTCGGGAAGTCGGGGCGGCGCCCGGTTTCCGGTCCCCCTAAGACGCGGCGGCTCCGCCCCCGGCTTCCGGAGCGGTGTCCCCAGGGAGCCGCACAGCTGTCCCCGTTCCGCGCGTGCGGGTGCCGGTGACTTCACTGACCGCGGGTGACAAGTTCAGGACTTGCTTTCCTCGCGGGGCAGCCGTGACAGCCCAGCCTGCCAGGCCGGGGTCGTGTTCCCTGTCGATGAGGGGACCCCGAATTCAGGACCAGGGTGGCTCCACCTCACCCGTGCTGGCTCTGGAGCTGCCAGGAAGCGGGCCGCCCGCCCAGCCCTGCCCGGCCGCTGTGCTCAGCGCCAGGACCCTCCGGGCCGGGCGGTGGGAGCGGGAGACTCCACCGGCCCCAAACCCGCTCCGCACTGGGCTGAGCCGGGTGCGGGCGTCTTTCCCTCGGAGGACAGGGCGTCTCACAGGGCCCGGCGCAGGCCCGCGCCCCTCGGCGACAGCTCTCGCCAGCCGGGCGTTTCTCACTCACACCCGCGGGCGACGGCAATGCTGGCTCCCACACAGCGGAAGCCCAGCCTTCGCGGCCTCGGCCGGGGTGCCGCTCTGCTCAGGGAGGCCTCTCCAGTCTGGCGCCCGGGACGTGGGGGACAGCAGGAGCTGCGAGCCCGCTAACACGTGCACGCCGGTGGTTCTGGTTTATTCACGGGGCCGCGCACCCGGCACCGGCACCGGCACCGCCATCAGTTTTCGTGCCTTTTCGTCTGCCCCCAAAGAAAGTCCGGGCTAATTCGCACTCAGTCCCCATCTTCCCGAAGCTCCCCAGCAAGCAGCACTCCGCCTTCTGTGCCTGGGGATCTGTCCGTCCTGGAAACCTCACACCAATGAGCACGGCAACATGCAGACACCGTGATCGGCTGCGTGGCTCAGTACAAAGCTTTCCAGTTCCCCCACGCTGCAGCGGGTGCCAGTGCTTCGCTGCTTTTTTTTTGTTTTTGGTACCAGGGATCGAACTCAGGTCTTTGCACTTTCGTAGCAGGCGAGGGAACCACTGAGCTAAATCCCCGGCCCTTCGATGCTTTTATTGTTCGTCCCTCCCAACTCCTTTGGACAGAGACCCACATTCTCTTTTCCTGTCATCAGTTGGTGACTGTGGGTTATTATGAACACCGCTGTAGTGAAGATTTGCACACAGCTGCATCTCATTTCTCGGAGATGTTTTCCTGTGGGTGTGAGGAAGGGCATCAGGACTCGGGCAGAGGGGTCCAACAGCAGGCAGACGTGTCCTGGTCAGGGAGACCCGGGGACACGCGGGGCCCAGGATCCCTGCCACCGCAGCTGCTGAGCACGGCGCACGGGACCAGTCCGGAAAGTGCTGTTTTCAAGTCTTCATCACATCTGGGGAAGCCGGGGAAGCCTTTCGACGGAACCATCAGAATCTGGTGCCGCTAAGTTGGGTTTTGGTAGGACAACCGCCCCAGCGCCTTGTCCCTGAGGAGCCAGCACGGGCATCCGGGCTTCGGAAGCCCTTCCCTCGGGCTCTGCCTGCGTGTCCCCACCCCCACTGCCCTCTCCTCCTGTCCTGTCCCATTCTTTGTCCAGGACGCCCAGAACCCGGAAGGGGCCCCGGGACCTGCCATGCGCTGACAGGTGGAGCTGCCGAGTCACGTGGCAGCTGTGTCCCGACTTCCACAGCGCGAAGTTGCACATTCAATCTACTACGCAGTGAGAGGTGCGTGGGTTCCAATTTTTTTTTTTTTTTTTTTTTGCAGTGCTAGGAATTGAGTTCAGAGCCTTCACACTGAGCTAAAAATCCCCAGCTCTTTCATTTTCTTCTTAAATTTTGAGACAGGGTCTTGCTAAATTGCACAGGCTAAGCTCAAACTTTCAATCCTCCTGCCTCAGCCTCCCAAGTGCTGGGATCACAAGTGTGCGGCACCACGCCGGGCCAAATGTTCTTATTTCTCCTAAAGGTCACACTTGCAGTGGGACTGCTTGGCTTTCTCGCCTTTCCCCGTGGGTTTCTTTTCTGCTTTTGTGGATGAGCATAAGCACTTACCTGGGCCTTGTGAAAGACGCATAAGTAACAGGAGGAGCCCGACAGCTCTCTTCGCAGCCAAGTGCATTTTAGGGACTCATTCTCTACTATGGCAGCCACCTGTGTGCCCTTTGACGCGGGTCTGAGTGTGGAAGTGACCTCAGGGCCGGCCGCAGCCTCAGTTTACCTCAGTTCACCACAACCACCTCTGTCCCCCCAGTGTGGTCCGAGGCTCAGCTGCCCCTGCCTGAGCCGTGGGGCGCCTCCATTTGCCCCTCTGTCCTGTCAGCTCCCCTCCAGGCTCCAAGGCCGCCTTGCTTTCTGCTACCACAGGGCACCCGCGTCCCACCTTATTCTTTCCTTGGGGCATGCAAGCAGTCAGCTGTGGCCTGAGCCCCACATGCTGAGGGCCCTTGTTACTTTAAGTGGAGGGCAGTATTTTTGAAAAGAAGTGTTAAGTTCCATCCCCGGTACCAAGAAAAAAAAAAGAAAGAAAGAAAAGAAGTGTTAACAATTTTATGAAAAAATAAACTTCATAACAAAATAACA